GGTATGTCGTGTGGACTTAAAGAAGTGGGAGATCAATGTCTACGACTCCTTGGCCCACAATCCTGAGGACTCTTTGCAAAGTCGAGCGCAGACATTGGCCCCACTTTCCCACTTGCTGCCACCTTTACTCCAGCAGTCGGGCTACTTTCAGAAATTGAGGGCAAAACCCATAACGTACCCTTTCACAGTTAACATTATGCCCGCAGATGAGCAATTAGTCCAGAATGATACATTCAGTTGTGGTCCGTTAGCGTGCATGTACGTAGAGCGCATGCTTGGGGACGTCTTTCCGAAAAATCCAACTACACAAGATATTGTAGCTTACAGAAAGAAGATGGCTTTAGCTATTTTTGCAAACGGGAAGCTTGTGGAATCAAAGTAAAAGTTTGTTGAAATTTCGGTTTTATGTTGTTTTTGGGTTGAATATGTGTACACTATGATCATTGAATATTGTAGTTGTTTTTGGGTGTAATTTGCTTGCATTATGTTGTTAATTTTTGTAGATTGATTCATGTTGTTGAGTTTGTTCAACATAGAGTTTGTTTGTTGGTGAATATGTTGAAAGTTGATAGGTTGGCCGAGAGAGTACCTTAACCAAGGTTGGAAGTTCAACTGCGGCTCAAGATTGTAGTTGATATGTTGAAAGTTGTTAATTTCATTCGCAGCCAGTTGACTTCTCAACTGCGGTTGGCCGAGAGAGCACCTCAACCGCGGCTCGCAGTTCAGCCGCGGTTGAAGATTGTTCTTCCTAGGAGAACAGTTCAAAAAGTCATTCACAGCCGGTTGACATCCCAACCGCGGTTTGCCGTGAGTGTACCTCAACCGCGGCTCGGGCTGCAACTGCGGCTCAAGACAGCTTTGCTTAAGGGGTCGTAATTGCGCGATGTTGTGTCTTGAACAGAAAACTGGTTTCTTATTCAAGAAACAGGTTTCTTGAGTAAGAATCAGGTTTCTTGTTCAAGAAACCTGTTTCTTGAGAAAGAAACTGGTTTCTTGAGCAAGAAACTGGTTTCTTGTTGAAGAAACCTGTTTCTTGAACAAGAAACTGGTTTCTTGAACAAGAAACGGGTTTCTTGAACAAGAAACGGGTTTCTTGAACAAGAAACCTGTTTCTTGAGCAAGAAACGGGTTTCTTGAGCAAGAAACATGTTTCTTGAGCAAGAAACGGGTTTCTTGAAATAGAAACCTGTTTCTTGAATATCAATGTTAGCGTTCAGCGCGCTATCTAGTGTTAGTGGATTGTCGTTCGAGTTGAAAGATTACGGGATGTTGTTTCTTGAACAAGAAACATGTTTCTTGAGCAAGAAACCTGTTTCTTGAACAAGAAACATGTTTCTTGAGCAAGAAACGGGTTTCTTGAACAAGAAACCTGTTTCTTGAATATCAATGTTAGCGTTCAGCGCTATCTAGTGTTAGTGGATTGTCGTTCGAGTTGGAAGATTACGGGATGTTGTTTCTTGAACAAGAAACATGTTTCTTGAGCAAGAAACCTGTTTCTT